AACTGTGTCTATGTTGCTGCTGTTTCCCCCCTTCCCCCTGCCCGTTGCAGTGTAGGCACAGTCGGAACCTGCGTGGTCAGCACAGTTCCCAACCAGTTGGAAGCTCATCCATGCCACAGCAGGAGGGAGGCATGGGGGAGAAGCGGTGGCACCAGGTATGCAGTTTGCTGATCCTTGGCCCCAAGACAGCTCTCTGGTCTAGAAACTGCACCTCTGCTGCAGCTGGGAGCCAGGGGCTGGGTGAAGTGATGCAACACCAAAACCACCCAGCCTGAGCTGGACCAGAACCAGGAGGGCAGAAAGAAGCAGTAACAGTGTGGGCACAGCTTGAAGCTGTGCATCCTTTGTGTGGGTATTGGCGAATTCTTGAGCTCTGTGGACTGTATGTTGTCGACCCCCTAGCCTGCTCTGTGGCGTGGGGCTTTTTATGTGTCATTCCATGCAGCAGGGCCTTGATTAGGTATCTGTGTGGTATTACAATATAAATAAATATTTAAATGTGAAATATGTAATGTGAGCAACACACCCAGGTTAATCTTGCTAGGTGGATCTAAATGTTTGTACTTCCTCACTTCATTACTTAGTTCTACAGCCCCCAAATTACATTAATGTGGAATTAATTTTACACTTAGCTTTATTTTTTTATTGTAATATGTAGTTTGCCTCAGCATACACACTTTGTCCTTAATGGAAAGGTTTCCTGTTCTGAGTCTTTCAGCATCAAGGCACTGAATTGTGAATGACTTGACTAGGCAAGGGTGTCTTGGCCCAAGCTCCTTTTAGATTTCATCAGTCTCACTCTGAACTAGAAGGCAGATATGGCTGTAGAGGGAAGTGATGTTCTCCTTTTGATGGTGTGAAAAATAAGGTATCTAGTCAAGATGAGTTGTGTGTCACCAGCCACTAGGTGGGCCCATTTAAGAATATTTTCCTAAACCAAACATGATCTTAAATTTAGAGAGGATAGAAGAGGTTCAGTTGTGTAAGGCTTTATCCACAAACCAAAAAAGGGAGCATCTTAGTTTTTGGATTGGCCAGAAGATACATTTCAGAAATATGAAGGAAAAGAAGAGCTATTTAGGCATTATGTGGGGTGCAGAGGTACATGTGCTGTCTTTTCCAAGTAATGGAGTGGGGTTGGGCTTCTGACCCTCCTGAAGTGATAAGATGCAGGATAATTGTTCAGACAATAGTGGTGAGGAAGAGCTAGATTTTGAGGAGACATGGGACTTGCAACAGAGTAAAGTGAGGGGAAGACTGAAATCTGAGGTTCTGTCTTTGTTGCACAGTTCTGTTAGCATATGTGCCTTGGCTAGAGTTGTGAGGGTGTTACACTGTATAGATGTACTGGCAAATCCCTATCATGGATATAGCTCTGTTGGCAGAGGAAGGCTTTCACTGCTTTGGAGGGGTGGTAAACCTGGTACAGAAAAACTTCTGATGCCTATAGCTGAAGGGGGCAACAGCCCTGTAATGTAAATTAAGCCTGGGAATAGAGAGGAGGTGATGAAGGAAGGAGTAAGAGAGGGACTGGGAGGATCTGTAAGGAGCAAGTGGGTGTGAGAAGAGGAAACTAGGACAGGAGTGTAGGCAGGGTAAGATTAGACTGGGTTTTTTAGGTGAGGGAAAGGAGCTTCACTGAAAATGGAGGATATACAACAGCAGGATGGATGGTGGCAGCAGACTTTGGAGTGGCGTGGGACAAGGTGACATAAATGAGATGGTCAGAGGCTCAGATAGAGCAGATGGCAAGGAAAGGGCATATCCTAAGCAGTTAGAAAGAGGGAAGAGACCAAGATGGCAATGTGGGTGAGTCTGACATACAAGGGCAGTCATGGATTGCCACTAGGGATGGAAATGGGAGGCAGCAGAGCAGACCCGGGGAGAATATTAGGAGCCGAAGAGACGGGAGAGTAGGTGCAGAAATGGGATGCTGATTAGGATCCTCCCGAGGTAGTGGCAAATCCATGAGAGCAAGAAATAGAGCTGTGGCAGCCACCAGCAGAGAGGGAGAGGGGAGTACAAGGAGCCACCAGGACAAACACTGAAAATGTCTCAGCAATGTGGGAGATTCAGGAAATCCTGAGGCAGGGAAAATGGAGTCATCAGTGGAGAAAGGCCCTTGTCTTGGAGAGGAAGGAAAGGTGGCTATAGACCTTAGTGGGAGCGATTTGGCAGAGTGCAAAGAGTGGGATTAGGCTTGAGGGGTAAGATCTAGGGGACAAGAGCAGAGAGCACTGAGTGTTCAGTTATTAAGAGTGCCAGGCAGGGCACAGGTAGCTGGATATAAAGGAACCAGATGGCTAAAGATAAAGCGGGGAGAAGGGGCAGGTTAATCAGCTACTGGTAGACCAGGTGGCAGGAGGGTGTTGGAACAAGAAATTACATGTGTCAGTGTAGTCATTATAGAGTTGATTCAAATCAGTGGGGTTTCAGGGGATGGGTTTATGGACTCTTCAGCTTTGCATCTCCATTTGACGTCATCTGATACTGCTGTCAGTTATGAGGAAGGTCACTCAAAGATAGGCGGTTAAATAAGCTGCCATCTGACAACTGAATGTTATAGGAGCCCACCAAACTCCTCCAAACTGCACTATAGGACCCTGACCATGCTCTAACCTTTACTCTCGGGTCTAAGGAAAGCTGAAGTGTCTTGGTGACTGGAAGAATTCCAGCTCTCTAATGTTCAAATGGTCCAGCTGTCTAACAACAGTCAAATCTGAGGAGCTTGCAGGCTACATTCCTCCTTGCCTTGTCTGTCTGTATTTGAAGCAGCCTGGGCCCTGGCCAGTCCTTGAGCATGCCATGTCACCTGGTACAGGAGGTAGAGTACTCGGCTTGTAACCCAGTGTGCACAGTTAAGTTTGGGTTTAAGAGCAGTATGAGCAGAGTCAGTTGAGGCCTGAGTTGCTATACAATCTTGTGCTCATTGTTTGGGTGGGAAGCCAAAAGATTTTGCTGAATGCAGGTTGAAGCTTGGGTGGCCTTGGGATATATCTGTCTTGATAAAGCAGAACACTGAAGCAAGGGCTTGAGGGTGAAGACCTGCTCTGAGGATCTTGAAAATGGGAACTCCTCCAGTCGGACAGAATGCCATCCTTGCTTATGTGAGATTTTCAAAGATAGAGCCTTATTTCTGTAGAATGGCTTTTCAGACGAATGGGCCATTCATCACAGAAAAGTGCATTAGCTGACTGCTTTTACAGACCCAGTGGCATAGCTACCAAGATTGGCATTGATGTTGGTAAACTTTAGAGTTAATGCACTTCTGAGATGATTCAGTTCAGCCTAAAATCACTGTCTCTTACATTTTCTCCTGCAGTAAGTGCAACATCTGTTCTTAGTGCTGTCTGCTGTAATGCAGTTGCAGTGGTTAACTTTGTAAATAACTTTTCTGTAGATACGACCTGAAGAAGAATGAACCACATTTGAAATCTTGTCTAAATCTATCCCAACCATGCAGTTGATCCAGTAAAAAGTGTCACCCTTGGAAATCCTTTCCTGTACATTCTTTTCTATATTTTAGGATTTCTCTAAGTTGTGGGGAAATTGCTCGCCTCTCCTACAGCTTAGAACTTCCCTTGGGAAGCATGCGAGTGAAATTGAGGAGCTGCTTCTGCTTAAAAAGTGCTTAAGAGCAGCAAAGAAAATGACTGGTTTGTCAGTTTCGTGCCTGGTGCTTGGGAGAGGGAGGAACAGCAGGGGAGTGAAACTGGAGGTGTCTGGTAGCAGCCTGGAAAGGTGTCTGGCAGCTGCCCTACACAAATCCCTTTTTGGTTAAGCGTTTCTTCAACAGTGTAGACTAGAAATATAATTTTTAAAACCTTCAGTTTAGATTTGGCTTCAGCCAAACCTTCCCTTCACTGGTAGAGTTTTTTGTCAGCCCTGGTAGCCAATATCTTGACTTAATTGACTTCCTGCTTATTACAATTACCTGTAAGAATGAAGTGCATCTTTAATGCTGTACTGCACTTCTCTTCCTATCTCCTGAAAAGTTGGTCTGACACATTTAATCAGCACTGAAATTCACCTAAGTACAGAGTGTGTGAGAAGCAAAAGATTATGAAATTAGAATAGTAAAATAATAACTCTGTTTTTTGATACATAATGCAATGGGGGCTTCATGATAAAACACTGAGGCAGTGGAGTGGAGAAGTGCTACAAATAAAGTTGAAACTGAGCAGAGTTGCTATAACAACAATAATCAATGAAACATAATCTGTCCCCAGGTTGTTTCTGCACTGTGGTGGCCTCACCAGCTCTTGGGTTCTTGTTCAGGTTGCTATGTTATGATTTTGTTTTCAGAGAGATGTTTGTTTTTTCTGTTTACTTCATGTAAATCTGACATACCTACTTAAGGTAAATCATAAGTCATACCACCTTCATATAAACTAAGCAGACTAACAAGGACTATCCCCCTTATCTCCAGATCAGTCATTTTCCTGCAGTTGTAATAACTTTCTACAAAGATGTGAATATAGGGGAAAAAAGCCAGAGGCTCCTGAATTCTAATCTCAATTCTGGCGCTGACTTTTTCTCTGATTTTTATGAAAACTGAGTAACCTGCATATACCTCTGTTTTATTCACAATAAACTGGGCACTGCTCTTACCTGATAGTGGTGAATTAGCGAATCTTTTAAAAGATATGGGAGGTGAAAAGAAATACAAAAGGCCCAAACGTAAGTAGTTATTAGGGGATGAGAACCTTCTTCACAACGATGATGTTATCCCAGTTTGGAAATGTTGAAGTTGCGGCTCAAGGATGTTTGGGTGTTCTGCCCAAGGCTACACAACACGTCTGTCAGAACTGGGCTTAGAATTCAACATCTGTTGACCCCTCCTCCAACCCTGTTCTAAAATCACTACTAGACCACATTTCCCTCTTGAAAATAACATTTATACAAAACCTTTAAGATAAAAGGTGCTTTATTTTTCTTAACTGTTTTAAATAGCCATTTGGTCTCTCATCTCTTAATTCAATTTTTTTTGTGTTTTCTAGGTGAAAGTGTGAAGCTCCAGATGTCAATTTTTAATTATTTTATCTAGATTTGTTTTTGTTTGTTTTAACAATATGGATTAATGAGGAACTATTTTATTTTGTGGGGGAGAGGAAGAAATGGATCGACCTGGAAGAGACTGAGACCCTTGGGCCATGGATGAAAAAAGTCTGGTCAGCATTGTTTTAATCATCAGTTGCCTTCTGGAGTTTTAAGAGTTCTCTGAAATCTCTCCTTTCAAGTCTGCCCTCCTTCACCCCACTTAGGCACTTTCTAGAGACAGTTGCTACAGAAGGGATTGGAAATTCAAGTTTATTCTTAAAAGCCAAAAGGAAACGAGACCTACTGGGTGTTTTGGGTGTCAAGCACGAGGGAACAAATAGAAGGAGGACAAAAAAACACACAAGCCAATGGACCTTGGCCTCCAACCCCCCTTATAAAGAAAAGGATTTACAGCTCAACCTCACACCAGCTGTTGCCTGGCTTTAGCCGTCAGGAGAGGAAATAAATAAAATTAAACAACCACCACTAGACAGACAGTCCCAGATCCTGGTGAAATTGGGAAGAATGTTTCTGCAACTGTCTTTGTATTAAAGGGCAAGAGGAAACGAAGTGGTGTTAGGAAGACTGGCAGAAGCAGAACCTCTTCCCAGAGAGTGGTGACCAGAAGGGACCACTGGACTCCAGGAGCAGCTTAGAAAGGAAAAACAGAAGAGACTTCCTCTGCATTTTGGTGCGGATTTTTCTCAGAGGAATCCAAGACAGGCTGGATACCTTCACAAGGGCATGAAAGACTCGCCCAGCTCAGCTTTCTTCCACGTGCCACAGAGTTCTGCATGTTTCAGTTGCCACCTTCCCTAGCCTTTGTTTTACTCTTGCCTTCAGGGTGAAACCAGTCCTCACCACCAGCTGCTCAGCGAACTACTCCTTGCACTATAGTGGCCTGGCTCAGGACAGATGTGGGCAGCCAAGGACATCCCTGTCTCAACAGTGTTTTAAATTGGAGTTCAGCCCCCACCCTTTAAAAAAAAAAAAAAAAAATCTCCTTCTCTATCCCCCCAAACTCTCTTGGGGGACACAGTGTATTTTTTTTTTTTGGCTGTTGTCTTGGATCTCTACCTTTTGGAGTTTATGTGGCTCTTTCTGGATGGTCTTGTGTCGTCTTCTCCATTGAGAACTCTCTAAGTGTATTTCAGGAAGTTGGGTAACTGCTTGCCCCCTCTTCCCCTAACTTTCCCCTCCCACCTTCCTTGTGAGCCCCCCATCTCCCTTCCCTTCTGAAGATCCCTTCCCCCCTTTTCATATCCATTCTGATTCCAGTTGGGCCTGGGCTATGCTGCAGGGCAGATTCTCCACCAGAGCTCCAACATGCCAGCAGCATCTGGAAAGAGGTTCAAACCCAGCAAATACGTCCCAGTCTCTGCTGCTGCCATCTTCCTAGTGGGAGCCACCACCCTCTTCTTTGCCTTCACGTGAGTCTCATATGAAATGGAAGCAGTAGCTTGGGCGGGGGTGGAAATGGGAGGGAGAAAAACTGACACATGTCAACAAAGCGGCCCAGGGTTACGTGGGCTGCATGATGGCTAGGAAGAGGTGGAATCCGGGTAGGATGGAGGGTGGGATGTCATGTCTTAGTACAGGAAATAATACTTTGCCAGGGCCCTGCTGAGGAAAGTTGCTGTGTTCTGGAGTATGAATTCTGGATTCCAGGCCTCAGTCACATCAGGGTGTCCCTAAAACCTGTTGCCACCTCCCTGTGACCCAGCACCTCAGTATTCATATCCCTTTTGTTTGGTTTTCCCAGTCATTGTGAAGGCAAGCCAAAGAAAACGGAGCACACTGAGCAAGGTGCCTTGCATTCCTTCGTCCCCCATTCTTTGCAGGTCTGGTGTCCTGTCTTCAGAGTCAAGTTTTTCTTAGAAAGATATCTTTTATAGGACCAGCTGGTCTTGGGATAAAGTTCGACCTGATGAATAATGTTTTTTTATTAAAAAAAACAAACCTTGTCCAATTCTGTCTCAGCTACACAGTTGGTCCAATAAAAGATATCATCCTGAGAAATCCTTGCCTCTTGCATAATTTCTGGACCATTATGGCTATAGCATCACTCTTATATTCCTGTCTTTGGACATTTGGGGTAACTCACAAATCTTGCTGGCCATTCTGTCTCAGACCATTGCCCTATGTGAGCAGTAGCTACATGGGGCTTCTCTATGTGGTGAATGGTCGGGGATAATCAGAGCCCCAAGAAGCTTGTTGGATCATGGAAAGGTAGTGGAGCCAGCATATCATACTTAAAGAATTACAGTCTTGACTTGCTAAGGGAAGGTCCAGACAGGAACAACCTTTGATCACTGCACTGTCCTTCCCTGTTTGACTCGCTCTTACTGCAGTTAATATCACTCTTGCCCTTGGCTGGTATGAAGGGTTCAGTGTCTCTAGAGAGAGACCAGTTTACCCATTGTTTGAGGAATAGCCATGTCTAGGGCCAGGCCACCAAGGCTGATGTCAGATACTCTTGCTCTGCACTGGCAGGCCTAGGTTGTGGGTATATGTTGGCGTGTAATTGTGCTGGTTCATATAAGGGAAACTAGGTCATAATTATGCCACATGGTAATGTTTCTTTGGGACTATGCCCCCTCCCCCCACTCATTCTTAGTTCAAAGAGGCCATGCACTATGTCTGGATTCAATTTGTCAAGGGTAAAAACCTCATTAAGCTAAGAGCTGAACAATCTAGATCTGACAGCAGGCAGGCAGAAGTAGGATCCCCAGGCAGCTGGAAAGGATGAGTGTTGTATGAGCTGTTGCTATGCCTGTCTCATCTCCCATTTTTGGAAGTAGGTCTTGATTTAGAGGTGTGTGTGTGGCCTGAGCTGGTTATACCTGGTGCTATGCTGAGTAGTTTGCCTGCACTTTAGCATCTTGACTTGTCATATCTCACGTGATGCATATAGGGTGTGGCCTTGGCTGTACTGACTGTTGGGAATCCAAACCACAGTGAATGAGACAGAGACAGCTTCTGTAACCCTGCTCGGTAAAACAGCAAGATGCATGTGACTTCTGAGCAATTCAAGCTCAAGGGGGCAAGAGGGAAAAGTGTGTGTGGTGACTAATATATGTGCTGCAGATGCTTATGGCTAAAGCGCTAAGATGTTACCTCTTTCCTGAAGACCTTCTGTTTAAGCCACCTTTTGGCTTTTCCTTTCAGTGTCTGAAGGGAATCCAGGAGTATTGGAACTCCTATTGCAGTATTAGAAATGCCAGTTACTTTGGTGAAATGAAATTGTCCTTATTTTGGGGCTTGGTTCCACTAGTGAGCAAGAGGAAAGGTGCTCACCTGCCCACACTTTTCAGCAGGGGGTTACTTAGTTCTGGAGCTGCTACTGGGTGGCCAGCTGGCCCCATTTGTGCTTTTAATCTTGTTGAGACTTGAGAATTTCTCCTTCTTTCCTTTGAAATTGGGGTGGGGGTTGGGTAGTTGAAAGTTGCAAGCATGGAGCAAAGATTAATCTGCTGCTTGGGATAGCTGGGCTCAGAAACATCAAATATAGACTAGCCAAGGCTGACAGAAGGGAGATCCTTTTGGTGTCTACTGAACTTCAGCTTCTCTGCTCTTCCTTGCCTGGAAGGGAGGCTTCACTTTTTTTTTCTTCCTATCAGGGATGTCTCCTCTCTCCTCAACTGCTGGCTGCTCTTGTGTTAAGCATCTGCTAAGCAGAACAAATAGGGTGCAGTAGACTTCTTGCAGCTGGGGATGGAGGAGCAACTAAGAAACGTGTTTAGAAAGTGACTTGCTGTTGCTGAGTGCGAGAGTTTTTCCTGGATGGGTTTTATTGCTTGAACCAAGTGTTGGACTGGAGGAGCCATGAATATTGAGTGATGTTAAGGGTAATAGGAGGGGGTTAGTTCTGTAGACAGCACCTTAGCGTGGTAAAATGGCAAGTGGTTGGTGGGGAAGTGGAGAGAGTAGGGCAGGACATTGCTTCCTTTTCTGTCACTCCATCAGAAAAAACTGCCAAGCTGAAAGAGCAGGTGACAGGAGGTGCTCTCTAGCACATGCAAAAGAGGCAGGAGTTGGGGAGTTTTGAGAGATGACCTGCTTAAATTGGTGGGGAAAGTGCTTATTCAGTTGTTCCCTACTATGACTGGCTGCCTTCTGAATCCCCAACACCAAGGCATTGAGCATCTGCTTACCAGAGAGACTTCGGTATCAATTTCAACCAAGGCAGTGATTACAGTGTGTCAGTGCTCTGCTTTTTGGGGCTACATGATCTCCTCTTGTCAGGTAATTGATTGGTTCTGGCCTTGTGGTGTAGCAGCATGTACAGAAAATTGGTGTTTGCAGCCACAATTTGCCCTTCAGTCCCTGACTGGCATCTCCACATGTTCCTTGGGAATAGCAACTCCCCACTCCCTGCAACCATTGTTATGGGCACCATGCCATAATGGGATGGTAGAAGCCGACCCAAGAAAATTCACTTTGGCTATTGGTCCTGAGCCTGTCTGGACACTTGTGATCAATTGCATCAGCAGGAAGAGCTCTTCCCCTGCCCTCTTTCTCCCCTCTCACTTCTTCCCTCTCCCCCCTAGGCTTCTTATCGGAGAGATATACACTAGAAAGCCTTAGTGTGTGATCAGGCCACCTGCATTGATGAGCAGGTTTGTTGAGAATGGAAATGCTTGGGCAGAGCCAGTTAATTGTAGGTCAGCTGAAGTTGTTTAATTTTATGTTGTAAAGTAGGTTAAAACAGAAGATTCCATGTGGTGATAAAAGTGCAACTTACAGGACGAGCGGGGCGGTTGCACAAGACCAGGTTCTCCAGGTGCTTTTGCTTTTTCAGTCTTTCTGAACTCATGTCCCTCAAGCATGTCCTTCATGAATTTTTGGGGTGGAATAAATGCAGTGCCCCCCTAAAGCCTACGTGCTGTGTTTGTTTTGGGAATAGCAGCCCTTGCACAGAGCAGAGGTTGAGAATGAATTTACTCCTTCTGCACCTGGACATCCATCCTATCAGAGCTATAATCCAGGGCCCTCCAGACCCCATCACCCTTGTGATGGCCACACTGAGCACAGGGCATAGGAGGTAGACTGGTGTTTGCATTTACTTACGTGTTGATCAGGGATCCTTCTCCATTGCATCTTTCCAGTGTGTTGTCCTGCTGCCCATTGGGCCATCCTGATTTTGGACTGAAAAATCCCATTTTAATTTAAGGACCAGATTAGAAGAAGCCACATGATCCTTCAACTAATAGGTGCAAATTCTTCCTATGTTGGGGGAGAGGCTGAGCAAGCAGTATTGGCTTGAGTGAAAATAAATGGAGAAACAGAGCTTATTCTACCCTGCCCCCCACAGCTCAGTTGTATTGAAAGGAGGAACAAGCTGAAAACTGTGCATCTCCTGGATGCTCCCTAGCAGTTGAGGCGCCCTTATGGGTCATTTTGCCCACTTCTGTGTTCCTTTTCTTTGTACCCCCTTAACCCTGCACTTAACAGGTTGGTCCTATTCTCCAGAGCTTGTTTCAGTCCTGTTTTCAGTGTCCTTCCTTTCCGAAGATAATTTGGACTTCTACTGAACCTCACCTTTCGCAGATATCTTCTTGACTAAATTTAGTTTGGTCCTTTTGTACATTCATGACAACTCAGTCATCCTTACTGGCCTCCCCAGAATCCTGAGGTAGTTACAGCTCAGTATGTTTGTTGCTCCCTTCCCCAGCCAAGCTGCCATTTCATTTGTTTTGGTCTTGCCAATTAAGTATCCATTAATTGCCAGCCCTTATTTACCTCCATCCTTGTCTTTGGGGCATCTTGCAGAGCGAAGCACCATCCATGGGTTCCACGCGAGAGTTTCCAATCTACTGGGTAGTTCTTGTAGTTTCAAAGTAGATTGCAATCTCTTCCGGGGAGGAGGGGTCTGGTTATCTTAGGAAATAAAAACATGATAGTCATTGGCACTGAGGGTCAGAATTTTCTTTTGGTCATGGGCATGGTTATTGGTATGTGAGTTTCCTTGGGGCACCACCCCAATTTCTCTCAGATTAGCATTAGTGGAAGCTCATCTACTTTCAGTACTTTGGGTCCTTATTTGAAATGAAGTTGGGCTAGCTGTCACTGGTTTTCATGTTACCTGTCCTTATGCTGAGTCTGTCACTGCAGTACATGATTGTCTTGCATGTTTGCTAAAGTGAGAGCATGTTTCTATGTCTTGGCTTGGCTTTCATAGAATCATAGAAAAGTAGGGCTGGAAGGGACCTCCAGAAGTCATCTAGTTCAGTGGTTTTCAAACTGTGTTCCTCAGAACCCTGGAGTTGTGTGATAGGTTATCAGGGGTTCTGCAAAAAGATTGGGGTAATGGTGGAGTGTGCCAGGAGGCAGTGTGTTGCCATTGTCAGGTCAGGTTTCCTGGCTAGGGGTAGAGGCTCCATGGCAGAAGTGATATGAAGGGGTTCCGTGACTTCAGGAAGTTTGAAGA